ACTGTTGAAGCACTTCTGGGAAGCGTAGGCAGCATTCACTTTTTGAGAGAGAGCCCAGGGGGGGTTTTGCTTGAGAGCATGAGATGTGCCCAGCATGTGCAAAAACTGCTCCTTGACTGCTCCTTTTGGAGGAGGAACTGTAGCTTGTTATGATGAGACATTCTCAAGCATGGAGTAAAGTCTGAGTGAGATCACCTCCTAGTCCCAGGCATGCATTTCTGTACAACACCGATGCTTTGGTCTGAAGCGTTGTGAACAACGATACTGAATCTAGAGCTTTTGAATGAAGATCAAGAATCAAAAAGATGTATTTCCAAATTTGCTTGACTACATCTATTGCATTCTCCTAATGTAAAACTGTGGATATTTTCAAGTATCTCTCTCTCTTCCTGCCTAGAGTTGAGAAGAATGTTTTATAGCCCTTCCTGTAACTGCTTTTTTATTTACAAAGCTACATCCACATGCTTTGCCTTAAAGTGACATATTTGGCTTTGGTGTATAGAATATCTATAAAATATATTGAATCACTCTCATGTCTAATGTGATGTGGGAGCTACTATCAAGCAAGATATTATTATCATTAAACAATAAATTAAAATCGGTCTCTCCTGTACCATGCACAGCAGGTGATGTGAGCACTGCTAAAACTTCACGTGGTTAAAGTTTCAGAATGAGTGTCACTTACTTAGTTGTTTCCTTCGTCTTAAATTTACTTCCTGTCTTGTGAAATGGAATTTTAAGTGTGTTATTACCCAGATGATCGAGGCTTAACTAGACGCATATGTCGTCTTTTACTGAAAATCAGTGTGGCAGCAATTTCATTGTTTGCCTATTCTGTTTTTTGGATGGCCAGACCAGAGGAGAAGGTGACCTGTTCATAGTTGTCCTCCATCCCCCTGACACCCTGAAAATGCAGGAGGAGGAGTGCACTGATTCAGAGCACGTTCAGAGCAGAGTTGAAAGAGTCTAATGGGCAGCTTTTGTGGCTGAGTTTCCACTAAATCACACTCGGCTCAGAGATTTGGCATTTTAATAAGACTAATGTTGCACTCTGCTCACGAGCTTTCAGTGAGCTGCTGGGCCATTGAATTTTGTTTCTCAGCTCTGTGGTTTTTACCCTTCTTTCTCCCATAGGCTGGTTATTCCCCCTTAGACATGAGATGTGGAATGAGCAGAAAGCAAAACAAGAAAAACCTGTACAAATTCAAGATAATTTACAAGAGCCTCATTCCCTTATGGTGCCACTAATTAGCATTGGTGTGTGTTCAGTATAGCCATCCAAACTGTCCCCCCTGCCCTCCTGCAAGGCAAAAATAGGTGGTACATTGAAGAAAGTAGTATGGATGTATTTTATGTGTCACCTATCTGCCCTATTAAATTGAGGCAATCAAGAAGAAGCATAGCAGTTTGAAGGCAGAAAAGGGGTTTTCAAGCAGAATCACACAAAGGTAACCACTGTGGTCTTCCAATGTTTTCCTCAGTTATTTGAAATTGATTGTATGGCTTTGTTGTAGCTCCCGGTTTGTATGCTAGAACAAGTGAGAGAGGAAAAATTGGGAGTCTTTGACTTGGAATGTCAATCCTGGAAAGTGTGCAGCGTGATTTTAAATTGCAGAACACCAGAGGAAGCGCTTGTATTACCTTAGTGCGTTCAGGAGAGCCCTGACATAGATGAACTGTAGAGCACCAACACTCAGACTGTGCAGACCAAGCAGCAATTAACAGTGTGCATGAGAACCGCGACTGTGACACAGGAGGAAAAGCTAGTAACTGCTTTTATGGGGAGGCTGTTTGTAGAGTAAGGGAAGGCAGGGAAGAACACAGACTTCTGTGAGCTCTTTGCAGAATGAAAATCCTTGAAGGATTCTTTCAGGCTCCGATTTTTCTTCCTTTTTCTTCCGTTCCACTCTGTGCAGGGAGCAGGGCCGGAGGACTTCAGCCATCTCCCACCTGAGCAAAGAAGAAAGAAACTTCAGCAAAAAGTTGATGAACTGAACAAAGACATTCAGAAGGAGATGGATCAAAGGTATGTCGGTCCCCTCCAATGAAAAATGAAATAGGTGGCCTTACATAGAACAGAAACAAGTAATATATAAGAAAGAGCGAATAAGATTCTAGGTTTGTGTAAGGTGCTGTTCCAAGAGAAAAAGAATGAGGGGTTACATATGGCTAAAAACACCTGAGAGGTGCAAGGCTCTGCACAACTCAATTCTGCAATCAGTTATTTAATTTTGGCTGATGCAGGTCAGAGCTGGGGCAAAAGCTGGCTTTCTCTTTACTCCATTCGTCCACCTCAGTGTAATGCATATCCTGTCTTGGGAATCGTGAGATGACATCCTAGTACAAGGATGGGAATAATATAAATGAAACAACTAGAGACAATTTTTTTCTTCTTGGGCCTTCGCAGGAGAGCAGCAGTTTAACCGTGAGCCAGACAAAGATTGCTGTTAGATACACTAAGTTTGTTTCTGGATGTGAGCCATTCCTGAGGGTGTTTTTAGGAAAGCAGAGGATGTAAATACAGCCTCAGGCAAAGGTACAATCACAGACCGCTCAGCACTCATCAGCGCCTATTACTGTGTGATGGGCATGGGTAGATCCCAACAAGAGAGGTTGTTAGGAGCAGGATAACATCATCAAAATTGCTGATTGATTGATTGATTGCTGTGTGTCTTAATGCTCTCTGATCTGCAGCTTACATTTCCTGGAAGCAGAAAGATAATGACTCCTGTGTTGTTATGGATGCTTTTTCCACAAGGCTTCATTTGTCATTCTGGTTGAGAATGAGGCTATTTTAGTTACACATTTTTAATGGATTCTGGCAGCCTCTGTTTGTTGCTCTGTATTTGTTCACATTCCGCAGTTGCATTAAAGATTCAGCATGTTATGTTTGCAAAAGTCAGAACTTTTCTTCCCTGAATGATTTTAAGAATTCTATCCCTAAATATTGCTTTGCATTTGTACAGATGTGCCTACTACATTTTCTGCTGACTTGCTTTGAACAACCTGTTTATTTGGTCTATAGAAATGCAAACTTTCATCTTTGTTTTATATGATGAATAAGAAAGGAAAACTACATGTGACTATATGATTTCTCATTGCTTTGTTTTTTTCCTCCGTGGTAGCTTACGTTTGTTTCTGTACACATTTCCCTTTCTGCTCTGTATTGATTCTGACGTAACCCAACATGAAAATCGGATAGGAAATCGAAGCAGAATTTAGTGATTTTAAAGAGAGATAGTATCTGATTGAAGAAGTAGCACCATCAGTTAAATAAGAGTTAAAAATTAGTAATAATCGTGACTCATATGTTAGCAATATTGTCCCTTAGGGCTTCAACCACAGAGCAGTCCCACTTCCTTGCCACCCACACTTTTTCCCATTTTCTATACACATAAAGCAAAGGCAGGCACAGGATTGCAATTGTCAAGAGTTTGGTGGGAAACTCTAAAATATGAAGAGCATTAACTTGAGTCGTGGGACTTGCATTAACCTTTCTCCCCCCAAGTAATGCCTAGAGAAAAGCTGAATGGCTGTGCCAGTAACACAGGAAATCAGCTCCTAAGTCTGCCCCTCTCTCAGCTCCGAAATGTTCATCATGCAGATAATGTTTTTTCTTTAAGTTCAGCCTCAACTCGCCTCAGTTCAAAAGCAGCACATTGCTCTTGGCGAGAGCTCTGCAGGCTGTCCTCGGGGAGCTCCTGAAGGCATGTACTATGTTAATCCCGGCCTTACGGTACCGCGTTCATCGTAGCAAGCCTTAAAACTGACATCTCTGAAACCCTGCGCGTTTGGCATCTGGGTTGATAGGAAACACAGCCCCCAGAACGAGTCTGGTAAAAATGCTGTGTAACTTCACAGGATGCAGGGTCACATCATGTGGCCCGAGGTCCATCTGTCGCCGTGCTGTGACAAATGCAAACCATCTGGATTTAGCTTCATTCGAAGCGGTGTGAAATAAATATCTTACCAATGAATAAGGTTGCAAAAAGCAAACTGCAACAGGCAGGGTGAGAATTTCTGGTTAGCACTCCCTTTTTATTATTAATATGTCCACATCCAGCTCTTTGTCCCAGTTTCTCAACTGGATTTCAGCCCATGGTGGAGAATGGTGATGCAACTGTTTGTCTGTGCCCCAAAAACTGGGATGATATTAATCTAAAAAGTTGAAGCTGTCATTCATTGCAATGGTTGTGAAATTATTTTTTTTTTAGCAAGTAGAAATCATAGCGACAAATAAAAGAAGGTGCCAGGCTAAAAGTCAATACCAAATTCCTCCTTTTGCCCTGTAAAAGGCCACTGTCCAAGAATTTGGTCATTTTCTGCTGAGATTCTTCAAGCAGGACACATGGAGCTTGAATCATTTTGTCTAAATGTGTTGTGTGCTCGTCTCTGTGCCTCACACTCCCCTGGTGAGGCTCCTCCTGCCATGCTCCTGGGTGTTCTCCATTACCTCTATAACCGATGAGGCTTGAACCACAGAGTAAGGTAGAGGCAGTTTATTATCCTTTTATTTGTTCTTGTTTATAGAAAGGCATTTGCCCCCAGCCACACTAACACTTGGATGTCGTATTTTTCTTCTGTTTCTCAGAGATGCCTTAACGAAAATGAAAGATGTTTATATCAAGAACCCACAGATGGGAGATGCAGCGAGTGTGGACCAGAGATTAGCAGAACTTGGACAGAACATTGAAAAGTTACGATTAGAAGTTCAGAAGTTTGAGGTACGGGAAGAGACATTTCCATTAAAAGTAGCTTGGTGCATGCTCAGTTTTAAGCAGGTGCTTTGTTGCTTTTCCAGATGTATTGATGCATTTTCTTACTGCCTATGGGTAAGGGCCACTTAACCACTTGCATTAATTGAGATCTTTGAGCCTGTGTATGTAACAGGAATATGCACCATCTCTTGTGACTGTCAGCTAATGGTCCTGCTGTGTAATTTGCCACAGAAACAAATTGTGTGAAGTGGAGGATAAGACCAAATGTAGTGCTCTCTGGACTGCCCAGAGGGGTTCAGTGCTTATTTAATTAAAAAAATTGAAACATCACCTTACAGATGTCTGTGGAAAATCAGAGGAACGTAAATGTACCATTTATAGTCTAACAACAAGACAGAAACCATCAGATTAAAAATGCTTTGAGGAAAAGGCAGTCCTTGACAGGAAGCTTCTTAGAGATACAGAATCCCGAGTATAAGGAATATTTGGAAAATATGAAGTCATTATAGTTACAGCAGAAGGATTATAGGGCTGAGGAAAGACTTCTTTCTCTAAGTCATCTATACAGATACAGCCTGTTCATTTTTGATGTTTCTGATCCATTATCCATTTGAAAATCACTGGCTCTTTCTTTCTCCCCACCTTTAGTCCTCTTGCATTCAGCAGTCGCTGTGATTGCTGTGTTTCTGGTGTTACTGAGACTGCTATACCTGTTGTTAAGTGCTTCTCTTGGGCCATGGTGTTTTCAGCACACGGTGTCAAAAAAGAATCAAGTTTTCAGTGTGTTTTTTGGCAAGACCGGTATATTTAATATACACTTAACATACAGACTCTATTCCCCGTGACTGCGACCCAAGGGAAAATGTACACGTGCTTACAAACTGGTTTTAGTTCCATAGTCTGAATGTCAGATATGACACATCAGAGTAAAAGCCACATGCATACCCTTGCTAGTCGAAGCGTGAGAGATGCGTGAGCCTGCTTTCCCCTGGCAGGGCTGGCTGGCCGAGGTGGAGGGCAGGTTACCCATGCGGACTGAGCAGGCTCGGCGGCAGAGCGGACTGTACGAAGCCCAGAACACGTCAGCAGTGAACAGCTGCGCGCAGGACCGGGAGAGGTACAGTATCTGTACAGAGCTGTCCTGTTCAGCCTGATGGTGCCACTCACTTCCCTGAGCTTATTCATCAGGAAAACTGTAGCTCTGTGGCATTCAGAAAATTATTCTGTAACCAGACTAAAGGCAGGCACTCCGTGAAGTGTTTCTCATACTGATTTTTATTAACATAAGGAAGATCCTAGCTTTAAGAGCTGCTTTTCTGAATATGATGGAATGTGTGATAGCCCCTCTAGCCCCTGTACTCACTGCTGTGAAGGTGTGTGAGCATTTTACAGCTTTTGATGGGAAAAAATGACTGGTCTCACCCAGTGTGTTGTGACAGCAGCTAGTGTAACAGCCGTTTCTGAGCATGCCCTGGAACTGCTGAGCTGCTCCGGCGCATCTTCCCTCAAGTGTCTAGGAATCAAGTAATTCTCTTTGCTCCCGAGACTGCTCGCTATAGTTGCTGTGTATTTTCCTCTCTTGAGCAGCCCGGATGGCAGTTACACAGAAGAGCAAAGTCAGGAGACTGAGATGAAAGTACCTGCAACGGATTTTGATGATGAATTTGATGATGAAGAACCACTACCCACCATAGGAACATGTAAAGCGCTCTATACATTTGAAGGTAGGAGTCAAACTTGACTCTCATTTCACTTACTGTTTTGTTTAGTTCATATGCCAAGGACAAGTGGGAAACCTTCATTTAACCCCTGCAGCGTTTAAATAGACAAAGGATGAGTGGGGCTTTGGCATGATTCTGTTTTGTCGAGAGCACTGAGGCAGTGACTTGTCTCCCATTGTGCATAGACTCTGCAAGAAGAAACAAAACAAAACTCTGATGTCAGATTCCTATTCATCTGGTTGTTCGTGTGCCCGCTGTTGTCTCCAGAATAGCATGTTCTTGTTCATGCTGCTAGTGATGCAATGAACGATGCCTCAGCACCTTGTCCGAGCGCGCCCTGCACACTCCCCGCTGCATCTGTGTTCCTGTGGTGCAGGACAGGCTAAAGTCCATGTTACTGTGTCTTTCAGGTCAGAATGAAGGAACAATTTCTGTAGCAGAAGGAGAAATGCTCTATGTAATAGAAGAAGACAAAGGTGACGGGTGGACACGAATCCGAAGGAACGAAGATGAGGAGGGCTATGTCCCTACGTCGTATGTTGAAGTCTATTTGGACAAAAATGCCAAAGGTGCTATGACTTATATTTAATACTATTACTATTACTTTATTTGCTTTCACAGAGATATCCAAGCCTGCAGCTGCTCTGTGTTGCAGATGGAGCCTTTTAAAAGTCTGTACAGTGCCACAAAGTGCATTATTTCATATGTGGACTAATATGACTTGCTGTACTGCAAAATGTGCTTTTTATTGATCAGAGAAGGACAGCGTGGTAGCCTGTAAAACCAGAGGGGAAATGCAGCGAGACGGTGCTTGTTGGACTGTCCGGGCTGTTGCCCCCCCGACTCAGTGCAGGAAACACAAAGGCATTTGGGGTGATACGGGCACTCCTCAGATACCCAGGTGACATCTCAGACACACACACAAGTCAGCTGTTTGTCCCAGACTGATTCAGTGGAATGTTATATAGGAAATATTTAGCCTGCTGTTTCGTGTCTCAGTGTGGCAGCTTGTCAGAGCCGAATGTGTTCTGTGGACTTTTTGGATTGAAACCTGGTCGTCAGTTAGTCAGTGTGGTTGGAAGGGGAAGGAGAGATCTTGCCGAAACCTGTCTGGACAGCACTCTGTGGTCCTCCACAAATTGGCAAAACATTAAGAAAAAGAAAGATCCTCTGTTCTTTCCCACCTTGATACATTTCATAAAATGCTCTTTTGGGTGTATTTGCTGTTTCAGATGAAATACAGTTATTAAACCATAACTAATGGTTTAATCTTTTGCTCACCCACGATCAATGGAGATGTTCAGAGTTTAGACTCCACAATCTTCTGTTTCTTTGTTGCTTTGACTCCTCACCAATAGATGTGTTGTGTAAGCAAGCCAGGGGAATCCTGGCTAGAATATCTGCTATGAGCACCTGGTGATGTAATGCACCAAGAAATCAAAATGTTTTTATCCTGTCTCAAATCAGGATGTGTTGGAAGTCCACTGTTAAATAATTTGTGTTTTTTCAGTCACTTAATCCTTCAGATTGTTGCTGTGTTTCCTAGACTTGAGAGTTCTTGGTGTGAAGCAAGCTGCCTCATCCAATTTGAAAGAAAACAGAAACATTCTCATTGGGATTTATGAGCAGGAGGCAGAGAGTAGGACTGGCCCTGGCCCTGGTCAGCTCACTGTCTTGGGCTCAGGATGAAACAGTGCAGTGCCTTGTCTGCTGCACGTGGAAGTCTGGGGTCTTGTGTTCTTTTGCTGTAATATGGTAGTTTTGTGTTTGTGTTGGCAAATACAGGGTCAGTTGAGGTGCAAAAGAGTGCAAACTGCTCAGCCCCTCTGTCCACTTTCATTAACCTTTAAAAAAGGAATTGTAGGTTTTCCTTCACACTCAGATCAAGGCAGAAAGCACAGAACGGCAGATCCCATCTCCTATCCCTCTGTTCTCTTTCACAGAGACTGACAGCTTTGTGTGTGGCAATAGTTGAAAGCGACATTATTATTCTGCTGGAAAATTTGTTGTTCAGCAGCGTAGGCTGCTTGAAACAGCCAAGCTGGCATGGCATCTAGACCTGTCGTAAGGAACAAGCGTGGCTGTCCTGCCCCGGGACATGCAGCGTGGGTCACGTCAGTGGAACGACAGCAAATCACCTGGTTACGAGCAGAGAGCAGGTTGGATGGGAAGGGAAGCAAAGTGTCTGTCTGGGGTTTAATTTGCCCTTCTGGAGAGAATATTGTAGGAGTACTGCAATACCAGGAGATGGTATTAGTATGTAAATGGCATTCTGTATGTTACAGGATGGTGTGGAATGATTGTAGAACAGGGTCTGCTCTGGGAGTGAAGGCTGGTACAGTTGCAGCACTTCTGGAGGGTTTCTGATCCTTTCGAGTTTCTCCATTCATTTTCCTGCACTTCAGGAACAAAATCAAATGTACCTGTGAATATCTAATGTAAAGGAACTATACTATTTACCTCTTTTATTTCTTAATTCTCTGGTTAAAAAGAAAAGCTAAAAGAGAACTTTCCATAAAACGTTCCAGACACAATATAAGGATTTGGGGGAAGTGCTACTGTCTTTAAAAGACAAACTTTGTTGCAAGCTGAAAATTTCTCATTTCATTTTAAACATTAGCAGAAATGACTTTATTCAATCCTTGAAA